ATTTCTCTCATCTATATGTTCACTCCTTTTTCCACTTTCACAAAGCTCGCCATTTTAGTTCTTCAAATTTTTTCCTGTACTACGGCAATGCTTTAGATGCTACGCAGAAAAAGATTTGTCTGCCATGTTGACCACTTTTAGGGAGGGATAGAGTGGGGACTGCACCAAGACTCAATCCATACATTTAAACTTTCTAGTCAGGTCCATATTCTAATAAATTCCTTTTTTTGTTTTTGTACAAAAGCAAAACAAATGCATGACATTTTTCTCATGACAAAAATGCATCAGTACATTCCATTTTTTAGAAACTTCCCCTGATAAATATTTGCGCTACAACACAGACATGAGATTACTGATGCATAAAGAAAAACCGTAAAAAGGAATTGTTCTTGCATCATACCACTCACCGAAAGTATAGGATTATGGAAATCATCTCTAAAGACAGTATCAAGATCAGTGAAAAGCCGGTGCTCAGGGGTATCATATCTGCCGTCACATAGATCAAGGCCACCAATAAAAGCAGTTATTTTCCTATTATTCCCAGAAGCTTGAGTGTCAAGAAGCACGCACTTCTGATGATGTGTAAAAAGAGTTCCCACAACCTGCAGCAAACAATCAAATTAAATGTGTAGTTTTTTAGTATATTAGGAGGGTTTGAACTCTAGAACTCTATCCATGCCCTAACTCACCCTAACCAACTTAGCTATCCCACTCCCTAACCGGGTGGCTTAAACAAGTATTACTTAAACAAACGAGAAAAGGAACAGTGCTACATCTCTCGTATTGGAGCAAAAACAAATGTGCAGTCTTCCAACAAATCACAACCCCAGTATTCTTGTCCTGCATAATATAAATTCGAAAGCAGGAATTACATACATGTTGCTTGAAAATACTGAGTTTATTGCTTGGATAACGTGGAGATAGCACGCAATGGACAGTGGAGTGTTTAAAGAATTTTTTGGTTGCTTCATCATGTGTCTGCATGACACCTTCCTGCAATCACAAAAACCAGTTATCACAAAGGACACCAGTTATAGATGTAAGGGGTGGTGTACTCAATACAATATTGTCAAGCACTTCCCTTCATGTTCACTAGTAAAATCAGATTTCAGAACCTTAATAGTTGAGCATATCATGATTGAAGATTGCTATAAAATTCCAGAGGATGGTCCATTATAAGTGACCCATAAAGAATGTACATGAGAACTATCTCGCATTCTGTACCCCCTCCTAATTTCTCCTTTCCTCTACTCATTCATTTCGATAATTTAAATGTTCTGAGAAAATAGGATCTAAGAATTTCAATACCTCAATGCAATATCTTAATAGTAGACAATTCAGCATAATGAAAAAAGATACCCTGAATTGATGGAAATAATCAATATGAAAACTTCTAAATAGAAATCATGTTTAATTATCTCATTGAAGTAATTAGAATTACCGTTTTTAAAAAAAAGGTGTCATGTGATGTTCTGTCGTCCCAAATCAAGATAACCACGCGGACTCCTTCTTGTGATTTGTATTTCAACAATTCTCCAAGTGAAAGCTCTCCACCAGCAGGTATCGGTTTTGTTGGTTCTCTGACGAGCTTTATAGGGTGGTAAATAGACCACCCAATGATATATATTAAATGGTGAGCTTCCAAAATGGCATGGCATATATCCTCCCAACATCTACCCTGGTTAAAGACCTTTCCCCCCTCAAGTGGAATTTCGGGTAGCATACCATTTGGTACATGTGCATCTTGATAAAGAGTCACACTCCCTCCTTTTCGGAGAGGGAAATATGTATTAGGAACACCAAAATAACTTGTCCGATTCTTGTCCCCCACGGCCAAAAACTTTAAAGAGATATGCAATTCAGGATAAGGCTTTAAGCAGTTTCCATTACCGACGATGGGAAACCAATCATTAAGAGTGTTTCCCAGCAAAATCTTCTGAACAGATATCTCCACTACTCCAATGAGTTCAGCTCCAAAAACGTCATCATCTTTCACAAGAAACACAACTTTTTGAACAGGGTGAGCAACTGGCACAACAAAATGTTCATCCCACACTGGGTTCTCACAATTAGATATGACTCTAGTTTGAACTACAGTAGCCCCTGCTAGAGAGACAGAGACATAAGGATCGCTAGTGATCATTTTATGTTTTCCAGAGTGTGTCTTGAGTCCTTTTACAAAGGGAGGTGCACAATTGTTTCCTGCAGTTAAACATTTTCTCATGGTTTCAGTATGACAATCCATATTTGGAAGATTTTTTGCTTCTATGATATGAAGATCCAAGTCCCCGTGCAAGAAAACTGATTCTTCAATGCCCTTCATTCCCTTGATTGGAGGCTTCTGGGGAAGATCACCTTTATAATCCATTTCAACCGATTGAAAGTTCAGCCAGCCAGTTGCAAGTTTCTACATTATATATTTCCTCCTCTGGTACCAAACACCAAATTCAAATATGCCTCAATCATGAATCTCTTAAAATCCATTTCCTTAACTCATATCATTTTCATGAAGTCCCGGATTTCTCTTTAGTTGTTTCTCAGATCCCAATCTCCATAAACTGATCCGATGTGACATCTGCCACTGAAACCTGGTCAGATATGCGGAAAAAGTACCCCCCCCAAAAAAAAAAAAAAAACACACACACACACACAAGAATTATATCATTCTACTAAAAAATAATTACTCTTGATGGAATTAAGACCTGAACCACAGGCATGTAAATGAATGCTCGTTAATTGAGCTACTTTTTGGCTTAAAGGATTATTAGAAAAGAAAAAGAAACCAAAACGCAACTACTATTTCATACAATGACATACAAACTGCACCTAGCTAATATACCCATTCCATGATATTGTTATAATGTTACTACCATACATACACAATCATGTCCATGTTGAAAATTCGAGAAGGGCCATTTAAACACGGAGAGAGTGCAGAAGAAAGTGTCGATGATGTACATCTTCCAAACACCATTTCGAACCAAAATAGCTGATAAATGACAATAAAGAGATTACTAATTCAGTATTATAAATATATGCATCCATTCTGAAAAGATCGACGGTGTGTGAGGTAAATGAGAAAATGGGATGGTTGAAAATAAGGTAAGAGCAACTTAGTCTCCATTTTCACTCTTACCAGGCCACATTATGTTGAAAATAGACGTGATCCAGAAGAGTATGCCTCGAGTTGTTCTTAATTCTCACCCGTCAATTCAAAAGCAAACGATGTGGGAAATTGGACAAAATAATCTTACAAACTAATTAACTTTTCATTAGCATTCAGCCATGTTCTAATTCCTCAGAGCGAATCAGTAGGAAGCAAAAACGAATTCGAAGAACTTCAAAAAAGGAAAAAGGAAGGACATAGATATATAACATGGTCCCCTGGTAACAACAGATATGATGGATGATTACCTGGTGACCAAACGCCATGACGAAGTTAATCCAGCAATAACCAGAAATGTAACGCAGGGTAGAAGGAAAAAAGAAAAGAAAAAAAAATCCGCGATGAACAAACGAAACCATTGAAGAGAGACGAGCTTTCGCGGGCCGAGAATGGCGGGAAATCTCATAGGACACGTGGAATTTATCCTTCTCTGGGTCCATGCATAAAAATCAAGTTGCAAAAAGATTCGTATAAGTACAGAAATATGTGCGTGCGTATTAAATTCCAACATTATTCTATCTCATATTCTTAATATAACGTCAAGTTGAATAATTTGAAAAAAATTTAAAAAATTACTAAATTATTTAATTATAGCATATATTACATGATACTACCTATGGTCCTTAATATAAAATTTCATTTGATTTTTATTTTAATCCTAAATATAAGACCCTAATTCACTTTGTCACTCGTATTTATTCATTTTTTCTCAAGATAGTCCTTTTAAGAATAGCAGTTCTAGCTAATAAACTTGATTAGTAAAGATATTTTTGTAAAAATAACACCATTTTATTACAAATTACTAACTTAACTTATTTTCTTAATCTATTCAAATTAGTCAACTAGCTTTTATATTTAGAATCGAAGGTAATATTTTTAAAATATTTATTTGTATCATTAGTTTATACATCAATTTATAAGTGAAACAAATTAATTTAAAAATAATAATAAATATAAATACTTTAAAATAATTTAGTAACTTTCTTAATTTTTTAAAATTAGTTAACTGCCTCTTATATTAAGAGCTGGAGGTAGTTTTAGCACCCCAAAAAAATCAAATGTTATTGCCCTACTATGTTAATTATTTTTTTATTAATTTATCAGAAATTTGTAATAGCTTTTCCAAAATACCCTTTTTCTAATAAGAGAGGAACATTAATCAAAAATAGATGTTGAGGTGTTGCAAATAGGATGAAAACAACCCGGCCATCCAACACATTTATGATCAAAGAGTAAAAGTTTACTGCTCGCTCCCGTGCAAAAAGTAAAAAAATCGTTACATATTATAAGTAATGATTTTGAAAGCCAAGTTTATTATATCAGATTTGACATTATTTTCATGTATAAGTAAAAAAATTGTGTAGTTGCTATAATTTGATTGAGTAATTTGATAATAGAAATGTTTAAAAAGAATTACAGTTAAGCTCAATACTTGAGATATCATATTTTAGGGTTTAACGATTTATCTTCATGATTTTAAGTTTTGTAATCATGAATTAAAACAAGACTAGCACTTCTCTGTTTTAAACATTGATCTATTTTTCCTAAGAATATTTTATCAAACTAGTCAATGCTTGGTTGACTCTTTTCAAAAAGAAAAAAGAACAATAGTTTCAAGGGTCAAATGTACTGAATTCAGAAGGGTTTGTAGTTAAATCTTGCTAATCCCATTCCTCCAACTTATCCTATATAGGCCCCAGGTTCCACATGAAAATTTTACTGCTAAATCCAAAAGTAATCATGTGGATTTTTTTTTTCAAAAAAAGAAAAACATAAGAAAAGCAAAGAAATAGAACTTCCATCATACTAGAAGTGGTAGTGTGGTACGTGGGCCTAAAACGAAAGAGAACAAAGTGATAATACATATATGCATAAAGAGATTCGGATGCGTGGATATGTCTCCTCAGGTTCAATCTCTTCTGCACCAGAAAAAGTACATACATCCCGATGGCTGATGGCTTATTATTGACTAAAAAATAGACCTACTGTAAGATGCCCCAGCACTTTCAAATGTATTACCTACGATATCTAAATGAAGCATGGCAAAATTCCTTATAGGAACCAGGATACATCCCTATGGGCTACTATGGCAAAATTAGCTGAGGTATAGAACCTGAAAACCAAATTTTTCAGAATCATTATAAGCAACTCTAGCTGCTTAAGCTGCACTTTTCTTGCTTCTGAAGTTCTCCTTCAACATTGCAAATTTTTTCTTGCACTGATTCACGGTCTTCCCGGGAACAGCAGCCGCAACTCGTTCCCATCTCTGGTTAGTTTCTTTGGGGAAAGCTTTCAGAGCCTGGACCAGTGCTTTTTCCTGAACAGCAGACCACACATCTTGACCTGAACTAGAGGAAGATCCATTGACTGTCGCAGAACCAGAAGAGCTTGGGCTGTCTGAAGTAATATTGCCGTGAGACCCCTCAGAGTTATTTGTTGCTAAGGTAGCATTGTTAGCAGGTCTTCCAGGAGCTGATTCACCGGTTAATTCTTCTCGGGTTGAGAGCGGAGATGCAATTGATGGTGCGGGTTTCCTTTTCTCAAGGAACGCATCAAACGATTTGGAAGAATCAGGCTTCTGGAGGAGAACTGTTTTGGTTGCCTTCAAAATTTCTTCCACAGATCTTCCTGTACCAATGTACTCTGAAACGACCTCCCACCTCCGAGAAGTTCCTTTAGGATATTTTTGCATGGCTTTTCTCAATAGCTCGATCTCTTCTTTACTCCAAGGTTTTTCCTTCTTTTCATTGGCGTTGCCTAGTAAGGCACTGCCATTAGTACTTGCAGAACTATCCTTTTTATCAGTTTTCCTATGTTTCTTGTCATCTGCATCTTTTTTAGAACCACAAGCATCTCTCAGAATTTCTGCTTTCTCTGAGATGGGCTTTCCTTCAAACATTTGGCACAAACTCCTCAACTTCTCAATATCAAGTGACAGGCAAAGACTTTCTACATCATCCTCAGACATGTCATGTGTTCTCTGGGACAAGACAGGTGCTGCAAGTGTTCGAAGACGATTTCGCTCTTTCCGCAAGAGCTTTTTCTCTTTCTCCTTCACCTTCTTTTGCTGCAAAGCAGCTTCTGCAGCTTGTCTCTCCTCCTCCTCCTTCTGTCTCTTCTCCTCTTCTGCAATTCTAGCAGCTTCTTCCTCCTGTAATTTTTTGGCCAGAATCTTGGCCTCTTTTTTCCTCTTCTTCTCAGCTTTTTCCTCTTCCTTTCTCCTCATTATTCTTGGGTCTCTCTTATAAGCATTATCAACAAGAGCACGAATCCGTGCATACTCTTCCTTCCTTGCTTTTTCTGACAATTTTGCATTCTGCCTTTCCATCCACCTCCTATGGTCTCGAGATTCAGCTTGTTCAAGATCAAATTCATCAGCATGAGGAAACTCCCTCCAGCTTTTAAATGCATACCAGAAATCGTAGAATGCATCAACTTCTTTTAGTGGAGTATTGTCATCTCCTAAAGATGGAACTGGTTGATTAATGGACCACCGCCCATTCCTCATAAAAGCAGGACCAAAAACTTTGAAGAAGTCTTGTGGAGAACAATCAGTGGGAATTTCATCATCAAACTCATCAGTGGAATCGTATATTCTTCTCTTCACCGGATCAATCAATACTTCATATGCTTCCTGGACTGCCTTAAAATGACTATCTATTTCATCCTTCTTTGCCTGTTTTGCAGCTTCAGTCTCCTCACCAAGCAGAAGAGCAGCCTGTTTATCAGGATGATACCTCAAGGCAGTTTCACGATAGCTTTTACGAATTTGATCCTCCGTAGCAAGATACCTTAGATGGCCCAAACCCAATAATGCATAGTGATCTTGTTGCTTGTCTCCAGCACCAGACTTCTTTTTACCCTTGCTGCTGTAAGAATCAGATGATGCAAAATACATCTTTTCCTTATCATCAACCACCTTCTCATCATCACCATCTGCATTATCTTCTTCAACACCAAGAAGTTTAAGGGCAGCTGAATGGAAGGCATGGCCAGCAGGTTCAAAGTTTGAAGCCTTAATAGGAAAACAATTTGAAGAAACAAAAATTGGCTGTCCATCTACAATCTCTTGTGAGTAGGCAATAAGCCGGAGGTTTGCGTGTTTGGCCATCATGATGGCCTGCCCAACCAGGAGGTAGGTAGTATGTTAGTGCTTGATGTCCCACAACAGCTCCAATTCAATTTCAATGTGTCCTCTAATAATTAATTATAAATACTGGAAGCTGCATTGACAATAAAAGTTCAACCAGGTCATTAAAAGACACCCTGAACAAGATACACATTGTGCAGCCAAACCACAGCATCAGCAGATCAAAATCAGAACAGGTATAGAGACTAGTTATTGCACCCAGGCATAGAACACATTGATATAGAAACTAGCAATCCAGAAGCTGCAGAGAGAGTAGTGTGTGGCTGTTAGACAGTTAACTATTGTTGTCAGCCCAATATCTAAAGCTCCACAATATTAGGAGGCCAGCTAAATCTTCAAGCATAATGTTTAATGGCAATTTTTAACTCCGGCAAAAGAAGAAAGACTTGGCTATAATATATCACATCAATGAATGCACCACCATGAATGAATTATAAATTTCCACGCAAAAGAGTTAAATACCGCATCATCTGCAACATAAAACCACATTCACCCATATGCATAGCATTGTTAAACCACACCATTAACATCCATGGTGGTAGCATTTTCTCAAAGTTATATAAAGGGGACTAAAAAAAACATATAAAATTTATTTATTTGCTATAGGTACACAAGTTTGACCATCCGTTGCATTAGGACCGGAAAAGGCACCGAAGTAAACTAGTAAGGAGTAAGTTGTTGATCCAACGATAATCATAAGCGGCTCATCAAGAACCAATAACCTCTCAAGGACGCTGCGTTAGTTCACCCATCGTCGGAGATATAATTACACGTCTTCTGGGAAAAGTGCGATAATGTCCGATCATGCCTTTAATCAGTTAATTGGTGATTTCTGTGGACGAGGCACAACTTATAAGCGTAAAAAAGCTAGTGTAGGCATTACTTCAAGAGATGCATATAAAATGCCAAAAAATTACTTTCTTTCCTCAAAATATTTCTCTTCATTGGTTCAAATTCCGGTGGATTAATTCCTTATTTCCTACTGACACTTGACTGCATTAAGTGGTGCAACGCAACAATCCCAAAACAAAAAACTGATGAATGATGTTGGCCTAAAAACAAAGGGCTTCGAAATTCATGCACAAAGGTCGGATTATGCACAACAATCGAAAAAAACGCAGAAAAATTCAGCTCTTGTACCATGAAACGGACACAAGATTGAAAGATGGAATCGTGACAGATCACGTAAAGAAACAAAAACAGGAAAGGAAAGGAAAGATAAGCGATGTTTGATCGGCAAATGACACAGATAAAACATGATCAGAGCACAAGAACAAAGAAAACTTACCTAGGAAAAAGAAAACGATTGACGAAGATACCAGAAAACGTTGAACTTGAAGCAGCTGAAGGAACACTGAAATGAATGCAATTTTGGGTTCCCAGATTGTCTGGGAAGTTTCGGCCTTTCTATATGGGCACTAACTTTCCCATCACAGATGTCAACCCCACAGCCAGTTAATTTTTTTGCATTTGCAAAGAAAACAAATCGGCAAGGAACAAATTGAACAAATACATGTTTACTTGGAACTTTGAATAAAAAAACTGTATATTCTTAATTCGTCTAGAATTCAATATGGGAAGATGCAGTTAAAATTATTTGAAATCAACAAGTATGTTGCAAATACAAAAAATTTTCAAAAATATTATTAACTCCATTCCTAATTATAAAAGCTAATTGATTAATTTGAGGAGGTTAAGGAAAGGAGTTAAGTTAGTTATTTGTAATAAATAGGTATTATTTTTCCTAAAATATCCTTGTTAATCAAATGTATTGATTAGAACTACCATTATTAGAATGACTTCTTTGGAAAAAAAATGCATAAATTTAATAGACAAAGTGGATTGGCATCTTATATTTAGGACCAAAATAAAAATCACATAAAGTCTTATATTAAGGACTGGAGATAGTATTTAATAATCGAAGGGTAACTTCTAAATAAATATTTATTTTTAATTAGAATGAATAAGAAAATCTTTAATATATACGTAAGACCAAAAAGGAAAAGGATTGTACTACTACTCCTCCTTCGGTCCTTAATATATGACCTAATTTTTAAATTGTTTTTTGTCATAAATATAAGACCTATTTTTCTTATTTATCAATTTTTTCTAAATTATTTCTATAGATACTCGCTCAACTATAATCAAGTAGAAGAGGGAGAGGAGTATTAAAAAAAATAATTATAGTGTTTTAGAAAAAATGTGTCACTTTTTTTATAATTGACAAATTTACCTAACTTCTTTAATCTAATCAAATTAGTTAAATTGGTTTTATATTAAGGACCGGAAGAGTATTTTTGATCCTAAATATAAAAACTAGTTAACTAATTTGAGAAAATTAAGAAGATGGGTTAAGTTAGTTATTTGTAATAAATAGATGTTGTCTTTCCTAAAATGTCCTTACTAATCAAGTGTATATGCTAAAATTACCATTATTAGAATGACTACTTTGAAAAAAAATACATAAATATAAAAAACAAAGTGGATTTGGATTTTATATTTAGGACCAAAATAAAATTTAAACAAAATTTCATATTAAAGACCGGATGTAGTATTATCTAAAAATTCTTTAAAAAGAAAAAAAATATCCTTGACAGATTTTTATTTTTCAAATGCGCAACTTTTGGACCACATGCGACATATGGAACTCATACTAGTTTTAAAAAAGTAACTACCTCTACTCGTGTCCCACGAAATACATTACTGATAATTTATTCAAAAATAAAATTAAAATATCCTGTAATTCACCTAAAAATATTTTTAATAATTTGAAAAAAAAATTAAAATTAGTATATATCGTTAATACAAGTTTTTTTAAAAAAAAATCGTTAATATAAGTTTCTAATTTTCAACTATGGCAAAATTTTCAAATATGTACTACCTTTGATTTTAATTATAAGACATTATTTATAATGACCAGTAGTAGTTTACTAAAGTTTTGATTTTTGTTTTTTCTCCCTAATTCTTTCCAAAAATATGCCGAATCTCATGGTAACATTGTTGCTACTTGCTATCAATATGTAAGAAAATGTCTCATCTAATTTAAAATGAAAAAGTTATACATGCATGAAAAGTAACATGAGCTAACCTCTTCTATGTTTTTGTTTTTTGGGTGAATCTTCTGTGTTTATTTTTATTCCCATGTAATGCGTATTTAGTTCTCTAGATATTTAATTGTAGCAAAGAAAATAATGACTAATTATATTATTAATAATCAATATTACTCCCTCCGGTCCATAATATAGATAATAAAAAAAGTTGGTTAACTTCCAAAAAATGGAGGTTTAGTCATTAAATTTGTCATAAAATGATAAAGTTTTCTTATTTTACCCTAAAAAAAATGATAAAGTTGCTTTTAATGTTATACTTTTATTATCTTTTATCTCCCTCCTATATTTAATCGAGGCGAAACTATATTTAATGGAGATGAAAGTGAAAAAATCACATTAGTTATTCTAATAATGTCTTATATTCTAGATCACAATTTTTTTTCTATAGGATGTCTTATACTACTTCCGGTCCTAATTATAAGAATTAGTTGACTAATTTGAGAAAATTAACAAAAGAAGTTAAGTTAGTTATTTGTAATAAATAGTGTTGTCTTTCCCAAAATATTCTTGCTAATTAAGTATGCTGGTTAGAATTATCATTGTTAGAAGGACTACCTTGAAAAAAAATATATAAATATGATAGACAAAATAAATTGAGGTCTTATATTTAGAACCAAAATAAAAATCAAACAATATCTTATATTAAGGGTCGAAGGTAGTATTATGGATCAGAGAGAGCAATAATCAATTATCAATTGAGTTTTTCATAATATTTAAGTCAAAAAATTTATTATTAATGAATAATATAATTTATGCATGCTCGAACATGCTCTTCCCACCATGCAAGTAGTACTTCTCCGCGAGTCCCGAATTTGAGAAATGCACATTCATAGGCTTTGGGATCTGTGAATCTCTTAGCATTTGCAATTCTGCGTTCATGGAAGATCATAGCGATGGAGAAAGAAAGAAGCAGACGTACTTACGAAGAACAACATCAGCTTCATCCCTCTCTAAATCCTTCACATTCCCTTAACCTACTAGACACTCATTTTGCTCATTCACGGCATACTGACATTCCTCGTCGTCAATTTCATTTCTGTTGCAATTTATTTTTCTTCGTTTTCCGTTGAAATTTATGGGCAAGGGACCGTTCTCCTTTAGCCGCTTTGGTGGCCGTCACCGGCAAAAGAGAGTGACTGATCTGCAGCAGCCGGTGGCCGGAGGGTCCAGCTCCCCGGGGAACACCGAGCATGGACCTGGCCTCATAAGCAAGGCCAAGAAGAAGCCCGGTGGCGTGAGGTTGTGGATGAGGTTCGACCTGTCGGGTCGATCAGAGCTGGTTGAGTTGGATAGGAACGCGGTTATCAAGCGCGCAGCGATTCCGGCACGGGATTTGAGGTTCCTGGGCCCTATCTTCTCCCAGTCCTCCAATATCCTCGGTAATTATTTTGAGATTTTGTCATGTTTGATTTTCGGGACCTCGAGGGGTTTGATGTTGTGGTGTTCTTTGTGTATTGTTATATTAGGTATGACATTGATTAGACTATGACTGCGTAATGCTTTAAAGTGAATGTTTGCTGGTAGCAGAACTTGGCAATTGGAATGAACGAAGAAAGTGATTATATGTTGTGCTATATTTCACGGAACACGAGTCTAGATATTCTGTTGGTGCTGAAATTTTTATTCTCAATTGTAGATATAGATATTCTGTTTACTTATCTTCCCCATATTTGGTAATAGCATGAATACAATCAAGTATGGAATGACATAAAATCTCCTTTTCAGCCAGAGAGAGAGCAATGGTAGTTAATCTGGAGTTTATAAAGGCTATAGTCACAGCTGAAGAAGTGCTATTGCTTGATCCTCTTCGCCAGGAGGTTCTTCCATTTGTTGAACAACTAAGGCAACAACTTCCAAATAAAAATCAACCTCAATTTCATGCCCGTGCAGTTGAACAAGAAACGGAAATGCAGGTTTCAACTGGCAGACAATTGCTAACAATGCCAGAGCCCGAAAGTTTGCGATCTGAGCTTCCATTTGAGTTTCAAGCTCTGGAGACTGCTTTGGAAGTTGTCTGCACACATTTGGAGTCAAATGTGGCAGACCTTGAGAGAGCTGCATACTCTGTATTGGATGAATTAATTAGGAGTGTCAGCACCAAGAATCTCCAAAATGTTCGAAGTTTGAAGAGTAATGTTACTCTTTTGCTGGCACGTGTGCAAAAGGTACGCTGCTTAGGTAGTTAAGTACTGATGCTATTTGGCTGTGGATGGTGATGGATAAAGCTTAAAACTTATCCGAAAAACAAATATGCCAAGTGAACTGGAGTCCGTATAAGCAGGATTTCTCATTATCCAATTAGATAACAGCCAAAGGCCCTACTTTATCACTAGTAATTTTCTATCTTAAATAGATCTCAGGGGTCTATTTAATTTTGTAGTCATTGCAATGGGATGAAATTGAACATCATCATCTATTCACTAGATCATGCTTGTATTATAAGTGCATGGTCCCCTTTTCCAGGTGCGGGATGAAATTGAACATCTGTTGGATGATAATGAAGATATGGCACAATTATATTTGACGAGAAAATGGATACAGATTCAGCAAGCTGAGGGTTATTCAGGAGTCATAACCACAAACAGCATCAGCACTGCAGCCATATCTCGTCAATTTTCTTACAGAAGCGGAAGTCTTGTGACTAGCAACTTTGTGGGTGATAATGATGTGGAGGATCTTGAGATGTTGCTTGAGGCATATTTCATACAGTTGGATGCAACACGTAATAGGATACTGTCTGTAAGTGTTCTTTCTTGATCAGAGCATAACCATGACAAAACTACATCTCTAGGACCTGATCATGTCCAATGCCTTCATCAATTTGTATTTTTATTCTTCTGTCGTGCTATCCTAGTCAAGTTTCCATCATACTTACACTTGCTTACCAGAAATCAATATAATCCATATGCATGGATGTGGGTGAGCAATATTTTGTCATTTGGCTTACCTCTTGTCTTCCTCATATATAAATAAGTTAAAAGTTATTAGTAGATTATCGTAAATCTTGATCCCATCGAGGCGGTAAATGATAAGTGGGGCGGATCATATTGAATTATTGAACTTTCTGCTCAGTTTGATTCTTATAAAGCCCTGTTCAAAACGGACCTTGAGAGTTTGACTGTACAGACTAAAGTACTGCTTCATTTGTTGTTCTTGATAGCTGGTACGATTCTTATTGACTGTTAGCTTGCAGGTCAGAGAGCACATTGATGATACAGAAGATTATGTTAACATCCAACTCGATAACCAACGAAACGAGCTCATTCAGCTGGAGTTGACACTAATCATTGCATCGTTTGCTATTGGAATTAATACTTACATTGCTGTCACTTTTGGCATGAACATTCCTTGTCAGTTTTATGAAAACACTGATGGACTATTTTGGAAGTTCGTCGGTTGTTCTTCTGCAGCTTGCATGCTTCTTTTCCTGCTCATGCTGGCATATGCCAGGTCCAAAGGGTTGCTTGGTTCGTAAGTGTACTTTGATATCTAAAATTAGTGTTCTGGCATTTGAATACACGCTTCCCAAAAGAGCATCTATTCGATGAGAATTGCAAGTTCATTAATTATTTACATCAGAAACCAAGTAGTTGTGATGCAGAGTTAACCGTTTTGTATTTTATGAGTATAAAAATCATTTAATTTATTTCATGTAATGACTGTTACGTTATCAAATGGGGGGCGGAAAATTTGCCTTTAGCTTCACTCCGATGGTTCTCGATTAATGATTCAATGTAAAAGAAGATCCATGTGAGATTCATATGATAATGAAAATTTTCATATGAGAAATGTGTACAAAAGTAATTATTTTGCTGATATTGATCATATAGACTGTTTCATACCAGAGTAGCATTTGAGTTTTCCTCCTTTTTCCCCTCTTTTGGCCTGACTGTTAGACTACAACCAAGGTTTGAAGTTCTAGAAGTGGGTAAAAGTTTACTTCAGTTTAATTGGTACCCAGCTCATATTAAACTCTTTAGTTTGTTATATAGATAAAGTACAAGTGATTAAACTTTTAGTGTGCGTCATGTCCAGTGGCATTGCTATATTTTTATTGTAAGAAATATCGAAAAGTCTTCAGTTCTCTCGATATCTTTATTTTTCAACATTTTCATACAACAAGACTATTTTTTCAAAGAAAGATACAAAAGATATGAGAAGAGGATGTGCTCCTTGATAATTGGTGAATGCTTGAAGCATTCACTAAAGACCAACACACAAACCACGAAGCATTAAAACGAACAAACCCAACAGCAAATTGGACAAGCATAATGTCGACATCAGCACAACATAAAAGCAGACATTCTATATTATCACTTGAATTTAGTTTGAAAAAGTTAGTCTCCCATAGCATAATAGTCAAAATTCAAAATCTTCGCTGAGAAAAGTATTACATTTAAGATCAATTTATCTCAAACAGGATTGCCTTCATAAAAAAAATATTCATACCTAACCCAAAAAGAAAAACATACAATCTATACTTGACCAAAAAAAAAAAAATTCAGAAACAGGTTCAACCAAAACGACCAAAGACTCGAACCAAAAAGTTAAAGCCACTAAAAAACAGTGTGGCTGTTGCATCCTGTGACCCGAAATGTGCTGACCACAAACCATTCAAGATTGCTGATTGCCACTAAAAGCAAGGTATCTCATAGGATACTGAAAAATGCTTACTAATTGGGGGAAATGGCATGACCACATAGTGATGAAATGTTAAAGCTTTTAACTATATACAAACCCAACAGCAACATTGGAAAAGCATAATGTCGACATCAGCACAACATAAAGCAGACATTCTATATTATCACTTGAATTTAGTTAAAAAAGTTAGTCTCCCATAGCATAACGAGTCAAAATTTAAATCTTCGCTGAGAAAAGTATTACATTTAATGATCAATTTTATCTCAAACAGGATTGCCTTCAATAATAAAAAAATATTCATACCTAACCCAAAAAGAAAAACATACAATCTATACTTGACCAAAAAAAAAATTCAGAAACAGGTTCAACAAAAACGACCAAAAACTCGAACAAAAAGTTAAAGCCACTCTAAACAGTGTTGGCTAGTTGCATCCTGTGTACCCGAAATGGTGCTGACCACAAAACCATTCAAGATTGCTGATTGCCACTAAAAGCAAGGTATCTCATAGGATACTGAAAAATGCTTACTAATTGGGGAAATGGCATGACCAACATAGTGATGAAATGTTAAAACTTTAACTATGTATTATATATTATAAAATGAATATTGGCGTCATCTAAGATATTTATAAAACTTATACACCTGTCACAGCTTTGAGAGTAAAACATATTATGTATATATTTTATAATAATTCAACAATAAAATTCGATCATCTGCTTTTGAGATGAGGTTGTTGATAGCACTTAGCACAAATGATTCTTCCTCTAGAAGGGGATTGCATCTTAGCGAGAGTGCTCCATTTGCATTTCTTAAAAGTTGGTTCTTTCACCAACTAAACAAATTTTCAAAAAGTGGGTAGATTCTCTCATTGGTTCTCTGATCATATTTGATCAATTTGGTTGGAAGTTCCAAATATATATATATATATATATATATATCAATAATAGATGGATTATGTGGGAAGGACTCTATTCTTTTCGAATAAGGTTGATGATTTGAATGTTATAAAGAAGAAAAATCATTTTAGAAAAAGCTACCCTCAATTAATTGACTAGCAGTTGAATCTGATTTGATAGCATCAAATGCTAGATAAATATATTAAGAAAATTAAAATTATATTGACTATAATCCTATTAATTAGAGTCCAATTAAATATTGCTAAATTATACTTTTTAATTAAAATGTTAATATGTAGTCCTTCACCTCTTTTATAGACACGTCAACCATCTCGTCAAAACCAAAGAAATAATCGAGTCATCAAATTTCTTTGAAAATGAAAATAAATCAAATTTATTATCATATTTAGTCATAAATTACATTTTGAGAAATGAAAAAAGAAAATAGTATCAAAATTTAAAATGGGGAAAATATAAAAAGTATGTAATTATTAAGAATCTTTTGGCCAAAAAAAAATTATCAAGAATCACTTATTCTTCTAAAAAGAAACCGGAGGAATATTATTAATAATATCCATGTTATTATCAATATATGCATAAAAGATGGATTATGCTTCTGAATAATATAACTTTACCTATCTCACCCTTTTTTTTTGCTTCGCATCTGGTTATCTTTGGCTAGTCCCTATTCACGGAGAATTCAACGGGCCCAGACTAATCCATATTCAGGTTCTGTTGGTCCTGTATGGGGGAGACCCTGGCTCCTTACGCTACTACGTTCTCACGTCTCGAACTCGATACCTGTGATTAAGTTCGGATTACTCTCACCCCATCTTCTACACAAACATTTTCAGCTCTTAGCATGAGTAATTTCCTCATAATGTTTGTGGTCCCATAAACAGCCCATAAATAATGACCCAATAGATAAAATAACGATGATCACTGAAATGACTTGGAATATAAATATCATATTCTGATTTTTTTGGATGAAAATTGAAAAAATCAGATTACAAAAAAAAAGTAAAAAAACTTTGACCCCAAAATCAGTCCCAACTTTTCTTTTCTTTTTTTTTTTTACCTAACATAACAAAATAAGATTGGATGTGTATATCTTATATGAATTATTTAGATTTATTTACACTATCTAATTTTCTTTTGTTTTTTTCATGAGGGCAAAAAATAGTTATTTTTTAAATAACTGTACTTCATATACAATGTTATAAATCAAATCACTGTGTCTAGCTAACATATCACTTCAACAAAATTTTATTTATGTTATGTCTGCTAATCACTTTTAGTGGCCAATTTTTTTTTTTAACTTCTCTTCTTCTTCTTCCAAAAACAAATTCCTCCTATTATTATTGTTCAAAACTTCAATATAAAATGTAAAACGGATTGTGGTATCTTACATATTTCAATTAAAATGTACTTTTCTGTTTTTTCAGTTTTAAACACTATAATAATTTGTTATAGCTCAAATAATTAAATAGTAAGTTATAAAAAGTAAAAACAAAAGAAAAAAGAAAAAGTTTGAAAAATTCTCCTGAGCAACTCATTCGCTTTTTAAAAACACATCAATTATGCTTCACTAGCAAGCAAACACGTAATGCTTGTTATTAACGGTTAAAATTTGTTCATAATATTAATAATTAATATTAATGTCTGGTGAACATGAGAATTCATTCGTTTATTCTTTCCAACTTTATTTTTTTGGTCCAGATCACAACCCATACTTTTCAATTGTAAATTCCTTTCTTAAATTTTTTTTTACTATTTACAAGCTAAATTTAAGTTGAATATGATAATTAAAAGGAAAAAAAAACCAAGCCTTCCTTTGAACTAAAATGCCAGACAATAATACTCCCCCAACAATCCTAAATATAAAAATTAGATAACTAATTTATAAAGATTAAAAAAATTAATATTTATAAAAAAAAATATGTGTATATTTGCCTAAAATACTTTCTTAATTAATATTCTTTGATAAAATTTTTTTTAATATATATGCACCATCAATAGGATAGCTACACACTTATATATATTTGAAAATAAGTTGCACATATTTTTTACTGTATTGATATCGATGTTAATACTAATACCAATATCAACTTTTTAATTGAGCAGAAACTAGAATAAGAATTATTTGAAATTATTCATGATAATTTATCCTTTTTATAACTAAATAATTTATTCAAATTTCATCCAAAAAAAAAATAAACCACGTTATCTGAAAGAAAAAGATTGCCGGAAAAACTAGAGTGGTTCTAACACTTGGCTTGGCTAAAACGAATTTAAGTTGTAACAACAGGTGTCATCGGAATAAATGAGAAATATCGGGGTCAAACTGTAAAATAGCAAAAGTTGCAGGGATGTATATATGTATTGTGTTCACCATTTTAGCGCGCCGAGGGAGGAAATATCGAGACGCAGCTTCAACGAGAAGACAGAAGAAGAGAGAGGGGGGAAGAGAGAGAACGGAGTGGGGGGAGAAACAGATTAAGAGAGAGAAAGAGGGTTGGCATAAAGAGGAGGAAACGAAGAAAGTGTGCTTTAATTTTTAGCCTTTGTAATTGCATTTCGGGATCTCGAATCTAAAATCTCCCAAAGGTGAGCTTTTGATGTATTTGTTATTTTCGTTGGGTTTTTTAAAATGAAACTACGTTCGGATGTTTGCTTGCAAGATGAATTTGTCTTCATTTTATGCTTAGTTCATTTAATCATCTTGCAATTATAAATTAAATTGATGCCCCGACCCCATTGTCGTACATTGCTGCATCGCGTTTGTACAATAATCGATTTCGTATCTTTGGGATTCTCTTTTCTTCTAAATGCACGCTGTTGTTTATTCTGTACATTCATGCCTTGGGTAGATGCTATAGTAAGGGCAGCAAAGGAACGTTTCGATCTTTTTTTGCGTCCGTCATCTTGGACCTTGGAGAAGAAAGAAATTTTAGCCTGCCTGAAACCGAGATTTCTCTCTTTATCTCTCTCTCTACTGGCTTTTGGCAGTTTTTTATTCTCGTTAACCCCCCCCCCCCAAAAAAAAACTTGGTTCAACTTAAAAGTTTCTTGTGTGGGTTTTCTGCTGCTTTGTTGGTGGATTGTTCATGTGTGAGTTGTCTGCCTCCGAAGT